ACTAAGAGGTTTAGCTATTTTAGCATACTGAGGAATGAATTTATGGAAATATTCCGTTAGTCCTAAAAAACAGCATTTAGATTTAGCAGGTTTAGTTAATGATTTGAAGTCCAATCCAGTCTTTCCTAATGCCTTTAAAATTCTACTATCTTAATTTAGTTATTTTTGCCGATAGATGGCGTTACCTCCTCGTGTTTGGTACTACCAGAGGGTATAAAAATCCATTCAGTGGTTGCTTTCCATTATTTGAAGTTCAGATTTTGAGCGTAAGGTGCATTTGCCCCTCGCTCCCTATTTTAACTTCGCTAATTTTTCATGCTCGATCAGATAGCCTGGCTCAGTAAAAGTAGGCGGCCAGTGTAACTCTGATTAAAAGTCTAGTTATAACCACGTGCAGTGCTGATAAGAACCACGTGTTTCTGTGACTCCTTTATTTTCTTCTTTCTAGGTGTTTCTTTCTCCTGATGAGGAGGGACCTTTAGCTGCCCTCGAAATCGATTGAGTGTTTCATTATACCTACGCTAAATACAAGGTTGTTTTTACGATTTTAATTGTCACATTAGAGTGTTTCTCTTCTAGTCTAGTTAGTTACTTGGTTGTGGAAAATTTTGAACAGCAACAGTCTTGGAAAGTGATGGTTGAATAGGTCCGTCTTCAATTACATGTCCCAAAAATTCAATTTTTCACTTTCAGACTCACACATTTTATAATTTATTTGTAATATGTATTCTAAAGCGGTTTTCAATACTCTTTCTAATTTTTCTAAACATTCGACTTCATCCATAGCCGGTACGATTATATCATCCATATAAATAATTAGTACACCTTCATTTAGCAAGTCTCGAAATACTCAATAAATATAAAACATTTGGACCAATACAAACTCCAAAAGAAGCTTTACGAAATTCATAAATACCATTATGTGTTACGAACGTGGTGTATTTTGTGCATTTATCATCTATATCTACATGGAAAAACCATTTTTCAAATCTAGTGTTGTGAAGAACTTTGATTGTTCTAAGCCATCGAGTATTTCTGGGATTAAAGTCAGAGGACATTTGTCTTTAATAATCTTCTTATTTAATTTCGGATAGTTAATGCATAATCTTTTAGACCTGTCCTTCTTGTTATTATAGGTGCAGCATAATTCGAATTGCTAGGCTTTATTAGACCATAGTTCAACCATTCTTTAATTTACTCGTCTAATTTTTTGTTCTGCGAAAGACTTGTATCTTCTATTTTGACAGACAGAAATTTCATCGCATAAATTTATTTGCATCCTGAAATCAGATTTTTTATTTTTCCGAGGCTGGTACGAATTACTTAATCTACACAGTCTTTCTTTATTTTCGACATTCGAAATGTACATAAAATTAATTTCGTTGACAGAAATAGCATTCACCTCATGTGCTAAGTAATTAAATTCCAAGCCATTTCCACTTTCTGTCTTATTGTTTACATTAACAGAGATGCTAGGCGACTGCGAAACATCATAAACATTCTTCAATGACACAGCGAATTTCCCATAACACAATGAACGTTAGCATTCCGATATGACTCAGCAATTATCAAATTCACATTATTTTTATTTCGATGAGAAATTATTTGAAGGCCATTCTCAGAAGTGATTCATTACATCTAAACCTCACACAATTTAATTACGTAATGACTTAAAGACATAAATTTTCGTACGAAGTGAAAAACCATCAATTAAAATATCAGAAATAAAAAAGCCAACAGGAAATGTTTGCTTTGCCTTGATGTGGAATAATGTGACATCGCTAAAAATTTTAATTTGGAGAACTAATTTGCTTATGTAACTCTACACTGCATATTGTAACATCTGAACCAGTGTCAACTACACTATCAACTAAGTGATTTTTTATTTCTACAATTTTGTAATTCTACCATTATACAGAATTTTCTCAACTAATGATGTTTGTGTTTGCTTCTCAGGCATTTCATTTTGACAGTCAGTCGATTTATGCCCAAACTTTTTACATTTAAAACATTTTATCCCACTCGATTTGTTTTTACACTCAGATGATTTATCACCCAGTTCATCGCAGTTAAAACACTTCACTTTATTTACGTTAGAAATCAGTCTAACAGATTATAGTGAGCATTGATTGACTGTGAATTTAGTGGATTATTATTACGAGACATTGGTTTACTGTTCCAGAGTGTTCGGATTACCAATTGAAGACGATCATCTGTCAGGTGAGTACAAAACTTTCTTTCCAATATGAAGTTAGTAGAAATTCCAAAGTTGGAAGTAGCTTTAAAGAAGGATAAAAGTTCTGAAATCAAAAGTTTGCAGAAGCTTATTTTTAATACTGAAGGAGACCGAAATAGACTGAGACTTCTGTTAGACTGATTTCCATTTGATAACGCAAACTTACTTCTATCTTTAATTTGAGTGTCTACTTTCAATTTCAGATTTTAAATTTATCATTGTCCGCTTTCATTTTGTCATAAATTTTTAGCCTTTCTTTAAATTCAGGTATTGTTTTGCAACCATATAGTATAGTTTTCCTCACCACCGAATCTGGAATACCATCTATGACATATTTAATTAATGAAGCATTTTCAATGTTACCTCACAAACACATTTCTTTCATTTTCAAAAAATGCTCATCTAAAGATTCATTATGCATTAATTTATGCTTACATAACATTTCATGCAATTCATCTGAATTAAAAGCTTTACCAAATTCAGATTTCAAAAGCTTTTGTAACTTACACCAGTTATTAACTTTAGGTTCACTCTAAATACAGTCAAAAGTCGTTAATCCGGACTCGTCGGGACTTCGGTGATTCCGGATTATAGATCATCAGTTTGAATCTGGTATGCAGAAATTACAAAATTAAAAATGTGAAACCATAATTTAGGAAATAAAGAACAATTATGATCTAAAGGATATCAAAATTTACAAAAAAAAAAAGCTTAATATTTATTTGTTTACTTTATTAAACATTTCTTTCAACGTGCGCATGCATAAAGCATACATTACGCATAGTCGAAATTAGAAAATGGCAACCAGAAAACTATTTGATGTGTACTCGTGATATTTATAATGACGAGGAATTTGATTTAAATCATATCAAAGACGGAATACATTGAGATGAAATACTACATTTAGTAAGGAATTATAAGCTGAATAAAATAAAAAAATCTGCCCTGAAGATAAGGATAGTGCTGACAGATCAACTTCCAGTTCATTGAGTGCCGAGATGTACCCCCCCCCCTGCAGAGCAGCGTGAAATTATTAAACAGATTTCGGAATGGTTAAGAAACAAAGGATATGCCTTTATCCATTTTTTCCCGCAATTCCACTTTTTGTTTAATGTACTTCGAAACATACTTTCGCTTTGTAGATCCTTTACATATTAGTAAATATATATCAGAAATTCTATTTGACATAATCGAACGTTCAAGCTTACTTTTATAAAATTGCTCTAACGGTCTGCAAAAGATAATAAGCCAGATCAAATTCGAAGATTAAGGAACAACGCAAGCTGCAACATTAACTGAATTAGATAATTTTAGCTTAGCTTATACCGTCCGTTGTACATTAAACGCGCAAGCGTAAACATATTATGCGCATGCTCACATGCATATTCGCACAGCCGTAAAGGTCTTGCGTGCACGGTAAACGTGACGCATGCGCAGAAAGTTTGTAGCTTTGAGGTCCGGATTATGGGTGTCCGAATTAACGACTTTTGACTGAAAATAGTTTTGCTTTACCTTTTAATGATCTTTTAGCAAAAACTAATTTATGCAAATCACTCAAATTCAAAGAATTTATGACATCTTCAAATTTCATCAACTTTTTCATATGCATTACCAAAAAAAGGATTTTCAATATCCGAAAAACTAAGAGGAGGTTTAAAATAATCTTCAATTGGAAGCTGCACACTGTTATTTACTTGAGACTCATTAAAACAAGGAGTTTCTTATTAAATTATTCAGAATCTAGTTTAAGTGTAAAGCCAGAAAATTCACGCTATCTTTTCCAGCTATTTCGATCTCCTTCAGTATTAAAAATAAGCTTCTGCAAACTTTTAATTTCAGAAATTTACCCTTCTTTAAAGCTGCTTCCAATTCTGGAATTTCTACTAACTTCATATTGGAAAGAAAGTTTTGTACTCACCCAACAGATGTCAACAGATGATGACAACAGATTTTGTATTCAATTGGTAATCCGAACACTCTGGAACAGTAATCCAATATGTCGTAATAGTAATCCACTAAATTCACAGTCAATCAATGCTCACTATAATCCGGCACTTAGAGTAGAGTTCTGCCTAACCAAACAGTTCCTAAAACATGTGGTCGAACAGTCGTCACAGTTTTATACTCAGAGTTCTACTTGTTAACCTAATGAAGAACTGATTCCAAATACTTTTGAGTTCGTATTTCGAGAACTTCTACCTTCGAGTTCGCGCCACAGTTGAGCACCATAAATTTGTAAGATTACTTTCAATAAGAATATAGTAGAGCACAACTTAAGCATAACTAGTTACTTTATTTTACTAATATGAAATAAAATGAATGAAAAGATAAATTAAATAAAAGTTATTGTCTTTGGTAATCTCACAACTAACGTGATTTCAAACAGGATTCGATTAATGATGATCATTTTCCCACATTATCAGTCCTCAATAAATACATTCAAAGGGCACATCTGCCCTCATATGGCTAGCTTAATGTAAGCTCTGCGCGTAGAACACGTCTTGTTCTCAGCACTTCCAGCGGTCATCTGACGCTCTGCAAGCTGTGATGACATCACACCTTGCTGGGTAGAAGTAGAAGTAAAGAGAGTCAAAAAATATTTCTTAACATATATTTATTTAATTTATCCATATTACCACCAGTTGCCTGAAATTTTCAGTACCTAAGTGGATAGTGATTTAGAATTTACTCATTTGTTCTGTATTTATTATATGTGTGTGTGTGTGTGAAGTTCAATTAATCCTTATTTTGTGTCCTTATGCAGATAAATCCAGTAATTGAAAAAGTTTACATGTTTGATGAAACACCTGAAGCATATAGAAGGCTCTTAAAAGGCCATGCACGTGGTAAAGTAGTTATAAATGTGATGTCAGCTGAAAATGAAAGCATGGATCAAAAGAAGGAATCAAACACAATTAAACAAAACCAAAATGTATAAAAAAATATTTAATAAATTTGTCTGTACATGCTAGTTGTACTGTATCTTCTGATTTTATAAATTCATATAAGTGAAACAAAAGCCTTATCAGTGAAAATTAATAATAATAAATAATTATAACAAGTAGATTCACATTTGTACTGAGGTATACTTTTTCCTGTAAAGTAGGTTCAAAATAATTATTCAGTGAAAAAATCGCTAAGAATATGAATAGAAGGTTATATAACTTCATGAGGTTTTTCACTGCAAGGGGACCATACATGTGCTTTTAAATTCATTTACTGTTTTAAAGATGACAACTTAATTCCTACATTTCTGCATAACATAAGTTTTCAAAAGAGGAATGATTTGCTAGAATGAATTGTAGTTTAATTGCTGCAAATTTCACCTAAGTTACTGTATTTAATCTACACTGGTGTGCAAAAATTAAGGACGAAGTCGAAAAATTAGCATATCAGCTGAACGAAGAGGCAGAGTGGACAGAAAGACCAACCAGGAGATTAAGTAAGGTGATGTACGGTAGCACATGCGCAGATATGCAGGTAGACGTAATGGGGGAGTGTCTGAGTAGTGTGAGTGAGTGAGCCCCACCAAGGAAGACCACTGACCTGGCCTTAGCCTCACAGTGTGTTATCTTCCTGGCAGAAACCATCTACTCTCTGCTCCATCCTGCTCCGGGAACGCAGCCGAATAGACGGCTAAGAGCCTCATAAAGTCTACATATAAGCTTGGATGTTGTTGTACGGGGAAAGAGTATCCTGTTAGGAACTACTTAAAATTAAGCAAAGAAGCAATCAAAAGACTGTTAAGAATCGCTGTTAGAATAGACAGAAACTTTGTGTTAGATAAAGTAAAGAATAGGAGGACTCTGCCTGAAAAATTAACTCCCGTGGATTTTCTGGACTTGCTAAATGTCTCCATGCGGGTGCTTATCCTGACACAACTGTCATATCTTTATGGGGCTTCTGTGAAATCGTTGGTCCTGCATGGAGTGTCTGAGTAGTATAAAGCATGTTGTCGGTGTAAGATCAGTATTTCTAGCAAAGAGATTGCACGCCGTATAGCAGTTAAAATCACACCGAGTTGCTACCTCAGCGAGAAATGGCGAATAATCAATCTGTTAGATGACATCTGGATGCTTTTACCCGAGGTCGAATCATTGGGAAGTTGGAGGAAGGCCGCAGTGTGACAAGTGTGGCTGCAGAGTTCGGAATTGCTCACAGCATCGTTTCACGACTTTGGAGACAATTTCAAACTACAGGAACAGCTATCCGGGGGTTTAGTAGTGGTCGTCCACGAGAAACCACACCCACAGATGACCAGTATATTGCCTTACAGGCCAGAAGAAACAGGCGGCAGACAGCGGGAGAAATCGCTAGACAGGCGACGGGACGACCGATATCGCATTTTACCGTGGCCAGAAGACTGCACGGTGGTGGTCTGTTTGCACGACGTCCTGTACGGTGTGTACCTCTAACGCCTGCCCATCGGAGAAGGCATTCTCTGTGGTGCCGGGAACATCGGAATTGGAGAGACAATGAATGGGGACGAGTACTCTTTACAGATGAGAGCAGATTCAGTCTGAGTAGCGATTCTCATTGCATGCTCATCTGGAGAGAGCGGGGAAGCCGCAATCATCCCTCGAACATCATTGAAAGGGACAGGTATGGAGGTGGCGGTGTTCTCATTTGGGGAGGCATCATGCTTGGTAGTCGTACAGACCTTCACATCTTCGACGCAGGTTCAGTCAATGGGACTCGTTATTGTAACAAGATTCTTCTTCCGTATGTGCGTCTTTTTAGAGGCGCTATGGGTCCGCAGTTCCTTTTCATGGACGACAATGCACCATGTCATCGCACAGTAGCTGCCGAACAGCTCTTAGAGAGTGAGGATATTAAACGTATGGATTGGCCGGCACGATCTCCGGATCTCAATCCCATCGAGCATGTATGGGATTTTCTAGGCAGACGCTTGGCAGCTCGTACCTTACCACCAGTAACGATTCTGGAGCTTCGATTGGCGCTGCAAGACGAATGGGCAGCAATGCCTCAACAACTCATTGACACCCTCATTCTCAGCATGGGCAGACGCTGTGAAACCTGCCTAGCAGTCAGGGAAGATCATATCCCCTATTAAAGACAGGATGTTTCTTGCTGGACACCCATCACAGAGATGTTTCGGCCTTCAGTCGCATTGCGCTCCATGCTACTTTTCAATAAAAGCTCTTTTTATCCCTCTGATTTCTCTTTAGTAAGTGTTGCTTACATTACTCATGTCCTTACATATTGGGGATCTTACGGTATTAAATGTGTTGATTTGGAAAGCTTTTGTACAAAGTTATATTGAAAAAAACCGTCTCGTCCTTAATTTTTGCACACAGTGTATAATATTTAAAAATATATAGTATTTGATATATATAGTATTAAATATGTATTTTATCTATAAATATTTTATTATTACTGTATTTTATGTATAATATTTAAAATATATACAAAGTGAAAATCAGTATTTGATATCTAAAATTCCATTTAGTATTGGAAAATCCAAAACTGTCATCTGGACTTTAAATCTCTTTTGGCTGTTTTATACTTACTTCATAATAAAAACAAAAAATTTAATTAAAAGTAATATTTAAAAAACAAATTACTTCAAATGAAGCAGCTTTACAGTCAGCTCATAACAATATTTCATTACAAGATAAAAAAGTTAATCATATTATAAAGCTAACATAAATCATATTTAAGCGATAATATATTATAAAAGAATACATCATATATGGAAAAAATGCAATATAACAAATGATTGTAGATGAGTATCAATAAATTAATTGAAAATATACAAAATGTTTAAAAAATTATTAACCTTGGACATATGAATAAAACGATACTCAAGCTTAAAAAATAAAGTAAATGTGAAATTAGGTTAATCAGTATTTTCATATGAACATAAATTTTCCTATAATAAATCTTCATTTTCCCATAATAAATTATCGATATTTACAGCCATACTGTAGGAACAGGAGATGGGTACTTTATATTCTAAACTCATTTTGAAGTGAGGCAATTCCATTATGCCTGGGCAGAATCAAAATCTGTTTTGACATTAGTAATAAATGACCATCTCAGACCTTACTATGTGTCAAAGAGTTAAATTATCACAGATCTGGCATTCCAATTTAAGAAATGAATCACTAACATAGACTTTTAGATCAAGTGACATCTTTTAACAAAAATTATATTTTCTGGTTATCTGCAGCCCTATCAAAAGTTGTGGGATTGGCAACTTTGGACAGAAACATTCTTTTCACTAATGCAACTAATGCTGCCTGTCTTTTTATATTCTTCTTTTTTTCATACAAACCATGCACACTTGTCAGTTTTGGGTGCTGTTCTTCTGCCCAAATATACAGCTATCTCTTTTCACTCAAAAAAAAATTTTGAGAATTGTAGAAAAAACTTAGCATCGCACACAACCTCTTCACGAAAATCCTAAAATGAACATCAAAAAAGAGGCACATGATAGCTTTAAGCTAGCCATATTACACTCTATGCATGCAGAAAGGAAAGTCTCTGAGGTTTCTCTGAAGATGACATAAACTGTAGTATGCAATCCACTGCTTGCTGGAATTTCCATAGGAGGGATCATCTGCAGTCACACTGGTGAAAATGACCAGAGAAGTGAAAAGTCATCTGGAAGAATGCTACGTGCATACCTATGCATTATCTAATCAATACCTTTTTGCAGTTTTTAAGTGGAGGGGCAGATAATCAAAAAAGTACCAAAAAAATATAATACAAAATTAAAACTTTCATGCATACCATCTACAAAAAATTCTAATTATAGTCTTTATTTATGATAACAGAAGTTTTTAGAAAAAGTTCTGCAATAAAGAGAATTGGCTCTAGAAAAATTGTAAAATTACACATACTTTGAATCAAATTTATTTGGAATAAAATCATTCATTTTGACAATCACATAAAAATTTAATTTTAAGATACCTTTAGCATGTTTAAAGAAGAAAATCTAAAGCCCATACTCTCTGTATTAAGTTTGATGCAAAAGATATCTTTTAACAATTTGCATTCAGACTATGCATAGCTTTCATTAGCAGTGCTTATGTGCAGATTCCAAAAATGTTAACTGATTGGTATCTCTTACTTTTAATGGCACCCTGCCTCCTTAATATTCCAATTATGAAAAAACAATTTTTAATTGACTTTATTCTCACCTCTTGGAGCCCAGTTAAAATATAAATTTCATATATGTTTGCTAAAAATTGTCACATGACTACAATCATCATAGTGTGACAGATAAAAACCTTATTTGATATGCTTCTTAAATGGGAACCACAGATTCATGGCGACTAGTCACAGAATGCAGAGTGGGCAACAGGAAAGTAGCCCACCTTTGGCAATAACATAACAAGATGAAACACCATCTTTCTCATGTGATGTACACAGGAGCAAAGAGGAAATCAAAATAAAGGTAGAACATTGTATTATATGATAACATAAAGTTCCTGATTGTGCAGAAAATAGAGGGCTCCTCTAAAGAACATGGCACCAGTATTGAAGATGGTTTATTTTTCATGCTCCACTTTGTATTTAGTCATGCACTCCTTTTAAAATATCCTGTAGTGTATATTAAAGTGAAATAACTCATTTAATAATATATATTTTATAGTATTCATTTACTTCATATATATATCATTAAGTCATATTACATTATCATCTGGACTTTATATCTCTTTCGGAATGAATATTTTTCACATTCGGGACAATTCTTTCTAGATATAAGTATAATATGCTTCTGTAAAATTTATTCCATACATTTGGAGGAGAGCAAAAATGGCAAAAAATATTTAACCCTTTATAGATCATGTTTAATTATGAATGAAAATATAGCACAAATTTTTAATAACAAAATCAGGTACTATCTTGAACATTTTATTTTAATATTATTTAATTTTCTTAGCAACCCTCTAATGATGTACAACAGAACTTTTTAGCCATTTCAAATAAAGTACTGTTTAC